GGGAAACGCAGAATTGCGAAATAAACGTCAGAATAACGAAATAGAAAGTTCACAATGACCTATTTTTATTTCTTTATCCTGTGGCGAAAACAGGCTTCCCCAGAAAATACTATATCAGTCTTTATACTTCAGAATTTCATTTTTAATTCAGTGTGTTGCTTGCTGTTTCTTTGTAATTACTTGTGAAATTTACTAGCTGAGAATTTTTGTACACCAAATTTTATTCAGTGTACATTTAAATCTCTTCATAAATGCTTCTCAGCTTTGAATCTACTGATTTTGTTTGATTTACAGGTGCTTTGGGAAACGTAAAGCGCACTTTCAGCATTCAAGGTAAAATTCTGACACACAGGAGTATGGTAATATACGAAGAGTGTGAGTTAATGAGTTAATGAGACCGTTTTCCAGAGCTGACGGTGACTCAGGAAGAGCTGAAGGATTGTGGGAAGCAGAAGAAGCTGTGTGTGACGTCTATCGCGGACTGTCTCTATACAGCATCAGACGGAGCTCCTCGAGTTCCCAGAACATCTGGTACGAGCCTGAAACCGTTCAGACTGGGTTTACCAGCATATTTGCTGTTGATTTGGTTTTAATTGTTGTTTTTGCCCTCAAGAGAACTTCCTGAACACATCATGCCACTATCTGATGCAAGAGGAGTCGTTGACCTGCAGATGGGCTCAGACAAACCACATCAGATCACAAACCATCAGCAGCTTAATTTTCAGCCAGTAAACGTGTCTGACGAGTGTCATCAGTACTGCTGCTGATAATAATAATGAATAAACGCCTCTATGAATCCACCTGTTAATGTAGTTTTTGTTTCACAGAGCTGAGGACTTCCACCACTGTCCCTCTATTTTAAAAATATATTCAACTTTCAATTTAACCATCAAGTCAAAGAGTGTCTTCAGCCAGAAAGAGCAGTTCTCTGACGTCTATCTGCTGGTCATTCGGGATATAAGTAAGAGGACAGTTATGGCTTTCATATTGATTTGATTTTAGCATAGAATGGTGGTGATAAATGTGACAAACTCCAGAATGATTGTGTGAATGTTGTAGTCCAGGCTCCTCGGCCGCTGATCTCGTCTGTTAACGTCACTGATTCGTCAATCAACGTCACATGGACCAGCGGGAAAATACCAGTCACTAAATGCAAAATCCGTTACAAACGTCTCAACACAGAGTCATGGGCCGAGGTCAGAAATGACAGAACATGCTTGAAATTTATTTATTTTTTTTTATTAATTAATTTTCATTTTATTCTTTTATATATATATTTTTTTTGTGGAGAAATATCTACCTGTCAGAACTCATAGATAATTAAGATTAAAAAAATACTACTAATTCAAAATTTTTATATTTTATTTAACTTATTTTAATGTTAGTATTGTTATAGATGATTGTCAGACATTCATAGATGATTAAATAAAATTACATGTAAATTATTATTATTATTATATGTCTCAACAGAGTCATGAACCAAGGTCAGAAATGACAGAACATGCTTGAAAATTATTTTTTTTTTTTATTAATTCATTAATTTTCATTTTATTTTTATATTTATTTATTTTTGTGGAGAAATATCTACCTGTCAGAACTCATAGATAATTAAGATAAAAAATACTACTAATGCAAAATTTGTATATTTTATTTTACTTATTTTAATGTCAGAATTGCTATAGATGATTGTCAGACATTCATAGATGATTAAATTAAATTACATTTAAATTATTATCATTATATACTTAGACCAGTTTTATCCAATTAATTATTAGAATTCTAAAGTATGACACAATCTGATTGATTGTTGACGCTTAAAAAGATGCTTATTAAAGTAAAGAGCCGTGTGTTTGTATCTCAGACTGCAGATTTGCCGTCCTCGGTCGAGTCTCAGTTCGTGATCGAGGGTTTACAGGCCTTCAGTGAGTATCATCTGAGAGTCTCCTGCTCTCACGGATTCGGCCGATGGAGCGACTGGAGCGACGAGACTCGAGTGAAGACATCAGAGAGCTGTGAGTGACGACAACAGGACTTTAATATGGTTTTCACACAGTCTGCTAATATGTTTGGCCAGTGTTGGGAGTAACGCATTACAAGTAACGTGAGTTACGTAATCAGATTACTTTTTTCAAGTAACGAGTAAAGTAACGCATTACTTTTTAATTTACAAGAGAATATCTGAGTTACTTTTTCAAATAAGTAACGCAAGTTACTTTTTTTCCCAATTTATTGATTGACAGCTCTCCTGTCCTCATGTTGAGAGAAATCAGAAGATGTTACTGTAGTTCTAAAATAAATATGAATATGCATTAATTCATCTCACTCACAAAAACCTCCACAGATTCAGTATTCCTCAAGATGAATAAAAATAATTTAACTCAGAATATGACGCAAACCTGCAATAATTAAATGTTAAACAACACAAATATCCTTTATGGAGTAACGCAATATTGTAATGCATTACTTTTAAAAGTAACTTTCCCCAACACTGTATTTGGCTGGCGCTGTATTTCTGCTGTCATGTTCTGTATCAGTGTGTCTGAAAGTCGTCTTTCATGTGTGTTTGCAGTGCCGACTGTTGCTCTCTCTCTCAGTTATTATGTGGATTCAGATGAAAACTCCAGGATTCGGCAGCTGGTGCTTCTCTGGAAGGTAATATAGCACACGTGTGTGTGTGTGTGTGTGTGTGTGTGAGTGTGTGTGCACGGGTGAGTGTTTGCGTTTGTGTGTGTGTGTGTGAGCGCGTGAGTGTGTGCGCGTGTGTGTTTGTGAGTGTGAGTGAGTGTGTGCGCGCGTGTGTGAGTGCGCGAGTGTGTGTGCGAGTGTGTGTGTGTGAGCGCGAGCGTGTGTGTGTGTGCGCGCGTGAGTGTTTGTGTGCGCGCGTGTGTGAGTGCGCGAGTGTGTGAGGGTGTGTGTGTGTGCGCGCGTGAGTGTTTGTGTGCGCGCGTGTGTGAGTGCGCGAGTGTGTGAGGGTGTGTGTGTGTGCGCGCGTGAGTGTTTGTGTGCGCGCGTGTGTGAGTGCGCGAGTGTGTGAGGGTGTGTGTGTGTGCGCGCGTGAGTGTTTGTGTGCGCGCGTGTGTGAGTGCGCGAGTGTGTGAGGGTGTGTGTGTGTGCGCGCGTGAGTGTTTGTGTGCGCGCGTGTGTGAGTGCGCGAGTGTGTGAGGGTGTGTGTGTGTGCGCGCGTGAGTGTTTGTGTGCGCGCGTGTGTGAGTGCGCGAGTGTGTGAGGGTGTGTGTGTGTGCGCGCGTGAGTGTTTGTGTGCGCGCGTGTGTGAGTGCGCGAGTGTGTGAGGGTGTGTGTGTGTGCGCGCGTGAGTGTTTGTGTGCGCGCGTGTGTGAGTGCGCGAGTGTGTGAGGGTGTGTGTGTGTGCGCGCGTGAGTGTTTGTGTGCGCGCGTGTGTGAGTGCGCGAGTGTGTGAGGGTGTGTGTGTGTGCGCGCGTGAGTGTTTGTGTGCGCGCGTGTGTGAGTGCGCGAGTGTGTGAGGGTGTGTGTGTGTGCGCGCGTGAGTGTTTGTGTGCGCGCGTGTGTGAGTGCGCGAGTGTGTGAGGGTGTGTGTGTGTGCGCGCGTGAGTGTTTGTGTGCGCGCGTGTGTGAGTGCGCGAGTGTGTGAGGGTGTGTGTGTGTGCGCGCGTGAGTGTTTGTGTGCGCGCGTGTGTGAGTGCGCGAGTGTGTGAGGGTGTGTGTGTGTGCGCGCGTGAGTGTTTGTGTGCGCGCGTGTGTGAGTGCGCGAGTGTGTGAGGGTGTGTGTGTGTGCGCGCGTGAGTGTTTGTGTGCGCGCGTGTGTGAGTGCGCGAGTGTGTGAGGGTGTGTGTGTGTGCGCGCGTGAGTGTTTGTGTGCGCGCGTGTGTGAGTGCGCGAGTGTGTGAGGGTGTGTGTGTGTGCGCGCGTGAGTGTTTGTGTGCGCGCGTGTGTGAGTGCGCGAGTGTGTGAGGGTGTGTGTGTGTGCGCGCGTGAGTGTTTGTGTGCGCGCGTGTGTGAGTGCGCGAGTGTGTGAGGGTGTGTGTGTGTGCGCGCGTGAGTGTTTGTGTGCGCGCGTGTGTGAGTGCGCGAGTGTGTGAGGGTGTGTGTGTGTGCGCGCGTGAGTGTTTGTGTGCGCGCGTGTGTGAGTGCGCGAGTGTGTGAGGGTGTGTGTGTGTGCGCGCGTGAGTGTTTGTGTGCGCGCGTGTGTGAGTGCGCGAGTGTGTGAGGGTGTGTGTGTGTGCGCGCGTGAGTGTTTGTGTGCGCGCGTGTGTGAGTGCGCGAGTGTGTGAGGGTGTGTGTGTGTGCGCGCGTGAGTGTTTGTGTGCGCGCGTGTGTGAGTGCGCGAGTGTGTGAGGGTGTGTGTGTGTGCGCGCGTGAGTGTTTGTGTGCGCGCGTGTGTGAGTGCGCGAGTGTGTGAGGGTGTGTGTGTGTGCGCGCGTGAGTGTTTGTGTGCGCGCGTGTGTGAGTGCGCGAGTGTGTGAGGGTGTGTGTGTGTGCGCGCGTGAGTGTTTGTGTGCGCGCGTGTGTGAGTGCGCGAGTGTGTGAGGGTGTGTGTGTGTGCGCGCGTGAGTGTTTGTGTGCGCGCGTGTGTGAGTGCGCGAGTGTGTGAGGGTGTGTGTGTGTGCGCGCGTGAGTGTTTGTGTGCGCGCGTGTGTGAGTGCGCGAGTGTGTGAGGGTGTGTGTGTGTGCGCGCGTGAGTGTTTGTGTGCGCGCGTGTGTGAGTGCGCGAGTGTGTGAGGGTGTGTGTGTGTGCGCGCGTGAGTGTTTGTGTGCGCGCGTGTGTGAGTGCGCGAGTGTGTGAGGGTGTGTGTGTGTGCGCGCGTGAGTGTTTGTGTGCGCGCGTGTGTGAGTGCGCGAGTGTGTGAGGGTGTGTGTGTGTGCGCGCGTGAGTGTTTGTGTGCGCGCGTGTGTGAGTGCGCGAGTGTGTGAGGGTGTGTGTGTGTGCGCGCGTGTGTGAGTGTGTGAGTGTGTTTGAGCGCGTGAGTGTGCGTGTGCGCGCACGTGTGTGTGTGAGTGTGTGCGTGTGTGAGAGAGTGTGCGTGTGCGAGTGTGTGCGAGAGTGTGAGTGCGCGAGTGTGTAAGCGAGTGTGTGAGAGTGTGCGTGTGTGTGAGAGTGTGTGTAGATCGGAA